TTTTTTATTTTATAAATTCGCACCTAAAATACCCAAAAATTAAAAATTGAGTCTCTTAGAATCATAATTCTATAGCCATAATAATTTATTTCTCATCCTAAATAATCATCTAAACTTCAATAAATCAATATATATTTTTAGATTTAATAAAATCTAGTCTAGGATTTGATTCTTAAGCCATAAATTCAAAAATCATCAACAAATTTATACTCTAGAATATTTATTATACTACTAATAACCTCAAAAATCATATTTATTCAACATAAATTCATCCCTCTTCCAGATCTTAAATTTTCTACCACTACAAACTCAGAAACCAAAAAGGAAAGATGACTAAGAAAAAATTTTAGAACACATATTTAGTCTTAAAAAGTTTAAAATCACACCCTAAATATCCTATTAAAAACTCTTACATTAAAAATTTAGATCTTCAGCACTGGCGACTCACGCTCACAGATGCTCTCTTTGATCGCACACAAAAGAGGAACGATGAAGAAAAATGAGAAGAGAACGGTGGCTTTTAAAAAATGAATGTGGGTCCCACAATTTTTTTATTATTTTCCCCTTTCCTCTCTCTTCTTTCTTTTTTTATTATTTTATATGTGATCATTACGCACCGAAAGCAATTTTGTTCTTCTTCTTCCTCCTTTTTTTTCCATACCTTTTCTCTTTCTTTCTTTTTATAATAATAATAATAATTTAATAATATTTATTTATTTATTTTTAAATTAATTAATAATTTTTTTAATTTTTTTATTTTAATTTAGAATTATATTCTAAATTAGATTTAATAATTATTTTCTACTAATTTGCTTACCTTTAAATATTTTTCAAAATTTTTATTAACTCAAATTAACTATTAAAATTTAAATTGGGATGTTACAAGTAATGAGATTGATGGTTGATGATTATATGTACACTCTTGGTTATAAGTTGTGGATTATGCACAGTGATGAAAGTTGATGAGCATGTGGGATGATTTTTGAAATATATATATGAGTTTTTGAAATGCATTTTCTCATGAGCATGATCATATGGTGGGAGTTTGCCTTGGTGAAGGAGTTAGCGATTACACAAAATCCATATGGTACTTGGCTATTAACCGATAATCCTAGGGGTTATAGCCGCTACTTACTTTGTAAGGTATGTAGCATTGTTCCTATTAAGGGACTTGACCCTACTGGCCTACCTGGAGTTTTGGGTAGAGCTAGTTTTGGGTATGACACCTCATAGTGTGTGATTTGGGGGAAACCATGTTCATAAGTGAGTAAGGTAACTCTGGCCCGGTAGCCCCTCATGATATGATTAAGGCTTTAGGTAGTCTCACCACATGGATGATCCCTTCCGGTTGTTGGCCCACGAATTTCATGTCAGAGGAAAGAAGGGGGGATATAAGGAAGAGATTGATCATGCATGTTATTATTATCATGTCATTTGAGTGATTGATGGCTATGTTGAGAATATGATTATAATTGCAGAAATGAGAACTTGTAGTAATTATGTGAATAATGTATATGTGGCTATTTGTGCAAATTTTATACTTGATTTTATTCTTGAAATTATTCACATGAGTTAAATGTTAATGTGATTAACATGTTATTAATGTGATTGTTTGAATGGTCACCTTGATAAATTTATTGGTCACTTGCATTCATGATTAATTATCATTCATTTATATAACTTAGATATACCTTGGTTACTGAGTGATTGTACTCACCCCTCTCTTTTAACATATTATAGGAGCTAGCTCATTTGAGAAGAACAGAGGAAAGGAGTATTAGGCCAAGTGATAATAATCACTTCTGTAGGCCTCTCTCCTTTTATTTGATATGTGTATTTAGTTTATGATATTGCCATCTAGGATAATATATTCTTGATCCACTTGCATTATGGGTTTTGTGTTGGGAAAAATGTATTTTGGGCCCTGGGGAATGTGGTTTGATGCTTGTGCTATAATTACGGGTCAAAATATTTGTGCAGGTAAAAATAGTTATTATCATGCTTCCGTATATGTTTAATTAAATGATATGAATTCTTAAAATATTTTAAAGACTTTGGATCCCTTTGTATTAAATAGTTTGTAAAAAAAATACATGTTAAGAATTCATTTAGATTAATCTCGTAATGAATAATCCATTTGGGTTAGTTCTTGATTAACCATGATTAGTATGATGACTAAGTCCTAATTTAGGACACCCTTTACAAGCATGCATAGACATCATTTTGTACATAGTGGATATTGTGTCGTGCATGATCTATTTCGTTACTTTGAGGATTCACGCAAGTTCTAAAATCAAATAAAAGGTAAAATTGTATTTTTAGTGTGAAGAAATATTACAATAAGAGTCCTAAGGCCTGAAGAGCAATATTAAATTTATTTAGGTCTAAATTATAATAAATTCTATTTTTAGGGCCCTTAATACCATTCCTCCTATATTTATTTATATATTTTAATTTTTTAATTTTATAAAATATTTTTTGAATTATTTAACTTAATGCCATCCATTTCATTAACAAAAAGTTCATACAATGAATTTTTAATTATTGATAAAATATTTTTAAATGTTGTCATATTAAATTAATAAATTTAATTTTTTAAAATAACAATAATTAATTTAAAAACTAATAATGTAAAATTAATGATATTAGAGTTAAAAGATTGAAAATATATTTTATTAAATTGAAAGACCAAACTAAAATTTTAAGTAAAGTTAGAGGATTAAAATTATACTTTAACCTTTATATATATATATATATATATATGCAAAAAATGTATAAAACTTACTTTATGCCATTGATAATATAGTTTAATTATATGCATATTTTCTTTGTTAAAAAATATAAGGTATTTTTAAGGAGTTTGATGGTAAAAAATATTGCCTTTTTTTAAAAATACCCATATTAATAATAACTTTTTATTTATTATAGGATATTTAATAGAGGTAAATATAAAAAGATGGGGTTAGTTTGAAAGTAGATAATAATTTTATTGAGAGGCAAGATTCAATTAAAAATACCCTACATTTTTGAATAGAGGGAGTTTAAGTTAGTGTATATTTCAATTTTAAGTCATGAAAAATTGATTAAAAATTACTCCCTCCTATTTATAGGGTAGAAAGAGAATTTTTTTTATCATATTTATTAGTGACATCTTTATCACAATTTTTTCCTTCTAACTTCTATTAAATGTTGGAAAAAAATGTTATTAAAATATGTATATTTAATAGGGATAAAGCTAAAAATTTATAAACTTTTAGACAAGTTAATAAGTTTTAAGATTTTTTTTATTACGATGAAATATGTTGGAAATGATTTACTAATAGGATTAGAGGAGTACAACTTTTTTTAAAATTTTGAAAATAATTTTCAGACAACTAATTATCAATTTCAGAAGTTAATTCTGTCTTTTGCAAATAAACATCACAACTTTCGAAAGTTCTAATTTTTTTTTTGTCTTGAACTTTCAAAAGTTTTAATTGAACTCATAAAATTTATTTATTTTTTGGTCAACATAACTTATAAATTTTGTAAAACTTTTGAAATTTATAACAAAACTAATCTTTAAAGTACTCAAATTTCAAGGATATGCATGAGCTTGGGATTTTTGTCTATTTCCTTTTATTTTTTAATTTTAGTCACTTATAATTTATATTCATATAACAAATCCAATATCCCCTCTCCCTCTTTGCCTTTTGTTTTGTCTTGTTGGTCCTCTGGTGATTTTCCCAATATATTTACGGCCCAAAAAAAATATCAATCGTTCACGACCGAAATAAACCTTTCACTTTGTCACTTCGTTACACGTGACACTGCCAAGTCAACATCAGTAAAAGTAGATAGACACTCACCAATTTGTTGTTTTTTTAACCCGAAAGTAATATGATTACCTTTTCATTTTCAATCTGAGCGCCTCTGTACGATTTAATTACATTTAATGAGACATTAAAGTCCTCGATATTAGGATTTAACTACATTTAATGAGATATTAAAGGTTTGGTTTAATTCTATTTTGTTTCTTCTTTAACATTTCCCATTTAAAAAAGTATTTTGAAAAGTTGGTGTGTCCAGAAAAACAAGTGGTCATGTAATAAAGTTTAGGTCCTGTTTGGGACCACACTTCTTTCATTGTTTATTGACTAAAAGCTTGTCCTTTGAAAAAAATTTAAGTAAATTAGATACATTATATTATTTATAAGCTCTTCAATTAAAATATTTTAGTAATTTAAATAAATTTTGTATAATATTTTTTAATTAATTTTATTTTTATAAAAAAATTCACATTTGATTTCTTACTTTTTTTTATTTTTACTATCATTAATATCAAAATTAATTTATATTTAATATCATCTAAATGTCATGTTTTTACTAAAAATATTATAATAATGTGGTGTATTTGGTCTATCTAAATATTTCTCTATCCTTAGAAATTGTTTGAAAGTATACGATGGAAGGATAGCAATGATTATTGATGAAATCAAATGAGATAGATTGGAGCAAAAATAGAATATTTCATTTTAAAAATTTTATTAAAACAAATAAATAAATTTATTTAATTATTTTTAAAAAATAATTAAAAAATTAATAAGTTTGAATTAAATAAAATTATATTTTTAAGTTTTGCTAGACTGAAAAGTGAGAGGGATTGAGAATGATAAAAGTAATTTTATAATAACATTATTCATATTATACTATTTTATTTTAATCTCTTTAAATTGTGAGGTCAAAAAAATAGATTTAAAATGGCAAATATGGTCTGAAAAGTCACCCAAATCATTTCCTTTTCTTTTAAAAAATTTTCCCAATTTTCTATCCATCTCATTTCATTCCATCTTAAAAAAACTTTCCAAACATTGCCTTGCGTCCTTAGGAGAAATGCTAACTTGACAGCGCAGAATCACTTAAAATTAGCCGCGATCCTCTCTCACTAAACGCAAAAATCTCGTCTACATTCATGAGAGTTTCTAATTCCTTTGATATTTTGAGAATAGCCAATCGTCCGTTGCCAGGTGGACAATCCACCTGACAGGCGTTAGGCTTGCGATAACTCTCGTCACAGCCGCAGGATAATATTTAGTAACGCACAGTGTTAGCGTTTGAGATCATTCTAGGGTGTCTCCTCTGCCTCTTCCACTCGATCGTCACTCTCGCTGGTCAGTCTCCCTCTCTCTGCGTGTATATTGTTGTAGGGAACTCACATTCACTGATAGTGTTAGCTTGAGATTCTTTATCATGATTTGTTTGCGAGCTCAGATGAGCAATTTTGATTTTTCAGTACGAGTTCGTTTTCGTTTGGTGTGGTGTGAAGTCTGATTTTGTTTTTATACTCTGTCATCGGTGATTATTGGTGGGCTATTTGAGGTTCTGTTCGTACATTTTTTAACCTGGCTGCTGTGATTTTCATTTTATACTTGGTGTTCGTCGTAATAAAAGCTTTAGACTCGACACTTTACTATTTTGCGTCAAGATATAATATTATTACTTAATTTCACCCTGAATTAATTATGTTTGAGATAAAATGGAGATGAAACTTAGAACAATATCCACGAAGAGCATCTTCCCTGTCTCTTTTTTGTCATGCCAAACTATTTATTCAAGCTTAAAACATAAGATGTCAAGGCCCTAAACCATCTTTAAAATCTTCGCTGATATAACTTCATTCTAAAAAGAGTTTTTGCAGTTTGTTTACTGGATCAGTCTCTTTCTGTTCATCAATTCTGTTATTTTTTCATCAAGTTGAATGCCTTCACTGGCTTGTGTTACAGCTCTAACAATATGGCTGAGACTACACCAGTTGCTCCTAGTCCTGAACTGTTGGAATGGCCAAAGAAAGACAAGCGCCGCCTCCTTCATGCTGTCTACCGTGTTGGTGATCTTGATCGCACCATCGAGTAGGATTGTGCGACATTACATTGATTTTTGTCATTATAATATGTGCCTTTAGATGCTCAACTTTTCTCCACTTCTTTTAGGTTTTATACTGAATGTTTTGGAATGAAGCTTTTGAGGAAAAGAGATGTTCCTGAGGAAAAATACTCCAATGCTTTTCTTGGATTTGGCCCCGAAGAAAACCATTTTGTAGTGGAATTAACATATAGTACGTTGCTCAGCCTTTTGCACATTGTGTTGGGTTTTATCCATGCAGTGAGTGGTTCATGGCTATATTTCCTTAAGTTCATTAGGTGTTTGTTATCATATGGTGAGGAACCATTTTTGAAATGGCAGCTGCGTCACTTTGAGTTGAAGAGAATATTCACCTGAGAACTTCAAAGGAAACAGTTAAATTATTGCCCTTGAGTTTGTCCCTTACATATAATTTGTTTGTTTTGTTTTAATTTACTTGGGAATAGCTTATTGCATGAACTGTATTTCATTGAATTGCACATGAAATAATTTCTTTGGCACAACAATGAATTTTATATTCTTTTAATTTTAAATCTGTTATTATATTTTTTGTCAGATTATGGGGTGACCTCATATGATATTGGAACTGGCTTTGGACATTTCGCAATTGCAACCCCAGATGTAAGCCTGATACTACCTTCAGAAATGCTCAAGTATCAATTTGCCTGTGTTGAAAATTAATTGAATATGTTGTTTTCTAGGTTTACAAAATGGTTGAAGACATACGGGCCAAGGGTGGAAACATCACTAGGGAGCCTGGTCCAGTTAAGGGTGGGACCACCGTCATTGCATTTGTGAAGGACCCTGATGGTTACATATTTGAGATCATCCAAAGAGAATCAACCCCTGAGCCACTGTGTCAAGTGATGCTTCGTGTTGGTGATTTAGAGCGCTCAATTAAGTTTTATGAAAAGGTAGCACTCCATGTTCAATTTATTTCCCCATTTTAATTTTAACTGAAGCTGCTTTAGTGGTACTGCTTGCAGTGCAAGTTTTCAAGCATTTAGTGTCTTCAAACTTGAATTTGATGAATTTTTATAAATTGACTTTCATAGTTTTTGCCTCTGCATGTACAAGCCTTTTTGATTCTTGAAGATGTTACTTTGTAAAACCTCACTAGGTTAAACACCAAGAGAGAACGTTCACCTGCTGACATGTTTAGTAAAATAGCAATGTAGTTGTGGGCCTCTAGGCTAAAGCAGTAATTTGAAGGGTCCGTTCTGTTTCTGTTATCATTTGATTTCACATCTATAGTTAAATCTTTCTCATTAGGCTAATCTTTTAGCCATGGGTTTCAAAGCTAGATGATCAACTAACTACATTTTATGTGGTTTATTATTTGTTCAATGAAATACACAAGAGATAAGACATTGACCTTATATTTCATGTCAATTTGAGAACCTGGATTAGGAACTGCCAGCTTTTGCTTGTCATGCACACTTTAGGGCATCGATGCTGCACTTGTATTATGATCCGCATCAAATAATATATTTTTGTAATCTGATGCCATGCTCTAATGGTGTACTATCTCTGTAGGCTTTGGGTATGAAGGTGGTAAAGAAGGTCGATAGGCCTGAATACAAGGTAAATTTTCATAAGCTCACCTTGAAAGCAGCGTGCATACTTTAACCACGAACTGCTCCATTTTTCTGAATTATGTTGCTTCCATTTGCAGTACACAATAGCCATGCTTGGGTATGCAGAGGAGCATGAGACAACTGTCTTGGAGTTGACATATAACTATGGTGTCTCTGAATACACTAAGGGAAATGCATATGCGCAGGTTAGTTGATGATACATCATAGGTTTAATATCACCTTTTTCGTGCCAAATTGGTTTATCTGTTCATCTATGCCCACCTTCTGATTAAAATTGTGGTATCTTTCAGGTTGCTATTGGCACTGACGATGTATACAAGAGCGCTGAGGTAGTCAACCATGTCATACAAGAGTTAGGAGGGAAGATTACTCGGCAACCAGGGCCAATTCCTGGCCTTAACACGAAAATCACTTCTTTCTTGGATCCAGATGGTTGGAAAACTGTGAGTTCTAAAACTTTTTCATAGAGTATGGCCTTAACAGAAGATTAATTTGCTGAATGACCGGTGAATTATGATGTTATTTACATGCATATCTATTTGCAGTAAGGGTTGCCAGTGCTGTGATTTGATGGCATTTTTTTTTTCTCTGATTTCACCAAATCCATCTTTGAAAGCTGTTAGAAGGTCAATGATTATCCTCATAATGTAGTACGAAGTTGTTGATTACATCTTAATGACCCAAAGAAATAGAACTCCCTTAATTGTAGAATTCAACATTTATCATGCATGTAGTCCGCGTCATAAAAACTCTCTCCGTAATTAAAACTCGGCATCTCTCATCTTCTCATTCTCTGCTTTAAATAAGTCTTTCTTAAAGTGGATGGATTAATAGGTCCTTTTTTTTGGGTGTAATTAAAGCTCAGTATCTTTTGCTTTCTTATTATGTAGTTGAATGTATATAGTCCACGTCATAAATTGTAGAATTCATATAGTCCAAAGAAATATCGCTTAACTATAGAATTCAACATTTATTATGCATATAGTCCACGTCATAAAAACTCGTTTTTTCATCTTCTCATTCTCTGCTATCTTAAAGTGGATGTATAAATAGGTCTTGTTATATGATTGAATGCCTCATGGCTAATTACGAGCTCCCAACACTTTGTTCTGACCTCATCTTTGATGTTTAATTATTTTTGTTGGGCTTAAGATTTAGCATTTTGGCTTTGTCCTTTCCTTCACAATGACATTGCATCACATGCCAGGCATATTTTAAAATCCCCCTTTTCTGGTCTTCATTTATGAATGATTCCATAATTGCTGCCAAACTGTGAATTTTAAATTGTAATAAATTTGAGCAAGAGCTGTCTTGTGTTAATCTGCTGCCATTGTCATATGAATTTGTAGGTGCTTGTTGACAATGAAGATTTCCTGAAGGAATTGAAGTGAAGAGTGACGGCTTTGCTAGTGCTTTTGTAATAAAGTTGTCTATCATCGGTGGTCATTAAACGTCTGTGTCTGCTTCTCTAGTATTTGCTTGTGGCGATGTGGTTGTGCAGTTGTCTCGAAACGTGCTTGATGGTGTCATCTATTACCTAAATATGATAAATCTATCTATAGAAATCTCTCTTTGGTTGTTTCAGAATGCACTTGTATCTTGATCAATGTATGTTTATCCATAATCAGTCTTCAAATCCATCCACGCTGAGGACCCGTTGAATTGGAGAGTCTTGTTGGCTAATGAAGATTGCGTAGTTGATAAGGATAAAGATTCACGTACCCCTTGTTTGGATGGGGGTGAAAAATGACTAAATGAGGACGGTAAATTGGAGGAGAAAACTGCTAAGAATAGTTTTTTAAAAAAGTACTATTTAAAGAAATTTTTCCTCGTGCCTTTTCCTTTATCCTATTTTCTTCACTCTTTTCTTTCTATCCAAGTCAAGCTTTTGTGAATTGAACAACACATGCCATCTTTGGTCAGTTTTCTTAGGACTTAAACCAAAAAATTTAGAAAAGGAAACTGTTTGAGTGTAATTTGTGAGATGAATTTTTAATCTTTATTCTGTTTTCATTTCTTTTAAAAATATATTTTGAAGTTTTCATTTCTTTTAAAAATATATTTTGAAATTGTTTTGTGAAATGAGGGACGTTTTTCAAATTAGGCTTTCATTGAGGAAAATGAATATTCTTCACAGTGAGGGAGGAGGGCTATCAAATGAACTGACATCTGGGAAATCTGTGGTCAATTAATTGGTTTGACATGCACTCATATTGTGCCAGTGTACGTTCTCTGTTTTCAATAAAAAATGAAAGGTGTTTTTTATATTCAAATTAAACAAAATTAAAAGATAAAACAGCAGAGAAACTAGGATTTTTCGTAGAAGTTGGGTTCCATTTTTTATTGAGATATTCTAAAATGACAAGTTTGTGGAGTATCACTAAAATCAACAAAAGATTATGCAAAGGAAATGGTCCAAAACAGTACCTCATATAATTTGGGCCTTAGAGAGACTGTTGCCTCATGTTTGAAATGACTAACATTATGATTGTTATTGTTTTCAACGTAAAATTGTACTCCGAATTATTTTAGTTTAGTAGACGCGGTTAGCTTGTTATAATATAGTGAATTAATGTTTGAATTTTTTTGGGAGACGTACTTATATTTAATGTTAAAAGGTGGATAAGATTGTTTCCAAGAAAATACATGTGTGTAACAATAAAAATTACCTACCTAAAAGCAATTATCTTTTGGTGGAGTATGTTTGACAGCTCCTGCTAATTTCATTGAACTGTATAATCCCTTCGAACATGACTCGTATTAACATCTTAAACGAATTTTGATATGTAAACTGAGTTAAAAAAAAATGAAATACTTTTAAAGTGAAGAAAGGATGACACAGTTTGTATACATGAGCTCTCCTTATTTATTTATTTTTTTATAAACCTGTTTTTCCATTTTCACTTCGAATGATCAAGCTGAAGTCATTGAGTTTGGAGTTTTTTTGGGTCAATTGGAGTTTTTTATACGGCTATTTAACTGGGTCAAATTTAAACATTGTCTGTTGTAGTTATTATGTGAGTGTGTTAAACAGAAAAGTTACATTGCCCACGTGAGGAGAGCTCTAAGTATATATATGTTAAGAAGTGAAAGTGAATTAGTAAATAAGTTTGGAAGAAAAGTGAACTTGCAAGCAAGAGACATGCTAACACAAGGCAATAACTGATTTGCTCCCCTATGCACGAGTTAAAGAAACATTGGATTTTTTTTATTGAATTTTGTTTTTTACAAAATTATTAAATTAATTTTGTAAAGTATGCTTTCTCGGAAATCCTTTAATTAACTAGTTTTGGAATTCCTCATCTTCTAGTAACGTAGACTTAACGTGCATTAACTAGAGTTTATTTTCATTTAAAGCTAAAAATTGATTTCTTTAAATGTCTTCCACTACAACGCTTAGAAATCGCCAAAATGAATTAGCATAATGAGTTATATTACTTATGAAATTAGTAATTAAATTATGCTTTGAGGCTGCCCAAAGGTTGTCTGATCCATGTCTATAAATAGCAGGAAGTGCTGTCAATTTAGTGTTAGATTTTTGAGATTTTGAATCAATTTTCTTCTCTACCTTTATATTTTGTTGCGCTGTCTAAGTATTATTTTGTTAGTATTTATTATTTTGTGTTCCTGTTAATTTTGCAGCATGAGTTTTTTAATCATAGAGAGCTGTCGTGCGATTATGCCATTGTAGCATAATAGCTTTTAAGAATAATGTCCTTGATACGACTTAAACTTTAAATTTACTTAATGCTTCTAATTGTTAAGTCTAACTGAACATAGCTCTCGTAAAAGTGTTTTTGTATTTACATGAATTCAAGCGCAAGATTTTATGCTTTGTTGGGTTTAATGAGGATGGACATAGTTAGGCTAGCGTAGAGCTTGAATTTTTTGGATATAAAAGACCATGAGTGAAAATTGAAAAGAGAATTGGAGCTTATCTATCAAGTACATATAGAAAAAGTCTAATTCCTATGCTGACTTCTTAACTAAATTATCTTATAGGTTAGATGTCAATTTCAATTTTTTTAATCATCCCTCACCTTTTATCCAAAAGGTGACTAATGATGAAAGTGATATGCTGACTTCTTAACAAAATTATCTTATAGATGTCAATTTCAATTTCTTTAATCATCCCTCACCTTTTATCCAAAAGGTGACTAATGATGAAAGTGATATGTTGACTTCTTAACTAAATTATCTTATAGGTTAGATGTCAATTTTAATTTCTTTAATCATCCCTCACCTCTTATCCAAGAGGTGACTAATGATGAAAGCAATCAATTAGGAAATTCCTATCTAATGTAATCTCTTATGATTTATATTTTTCAGTTTTATTAAGAAAAATTTGAAAAGAGACTTAGATTTCAAAAATAATATATAAATAGATTAACACATTAATCTAAGATTAAGCTAGGACAATCACCAATAATGACTCGACAGAATATAATGACAATAAGGACCTTCAAATTTTTTTCTTAAATGCCATAAGATAAAATACCCATACCCTACCAATTAAAGTCACCGTGAATTATAGATGATCTTATCATTTAAGTAAGTGGCTAGAAGTACTTCAAATGTCATTCTTTGTACATGTAATTTAATTAAGAAAAGTCTACCTATTGTTTTCAATATCTTAGGAGAGATATTTTCTATTATTGGCATAGTTACTCTTTATACATACCCAAAAAAAAAAAAAAACCCATACTCTGTCAATTTTTAAAAATCGGAAGTTTAGTTACAAAAATAAGAATTTTTTGGTGAATACAAAAAATAAGAAATTAGTTATAAATATTCGATCATGTTTCATTACCGCATTACTTAAGATTTTCTTGCGAAGTTTTTAGATTTTATAACTCAAATAGAACATAAATTTAAAGATGGAATTTTACAAAATCTATCATTGAGTTTTTATTATTTACAAATGAGCGTATTCAAGTACAACTAAGCTTGACTTTAGCATTTTCTGGGGGGAAAAAAGCTTGACTTTGGTATGTTAACCGCAGATGTGGTTGGAAGGGAGGATGGGAAAAATTTTAATAAGCTCATTTGAAAAAAAAAAATAGAGAAGTAGGGATAAAAATTTTTAATTATTTTTCATTATCATTTTTCTTACTTTTTTTATTAAACACTTTCAATCTCATTTATTTATTTATTTATTAAACTATTAAAATTTTTCCTCTCCTCCTTAACATGGCTTAGTGTTATTACTTGTTTTACAGCTTCAAGGTGATTTTTTAATTGCTATTATGTCTCTATCAAAGTCATAGTGTATCATTTTTTTTCCTTATCGAGTAGTGGTTGTTACCTTCGCTTTGCAGGGAAAAAAAACAAGAAAGAATATTATTAAGTCATTTTTGAAAGAAGTTAATATCTTACATGGACTTCCAACAATAAACATTAATAATTAATAAATAAAGTTTAGGTTTTAACAAGTATATACAGCATCCAAGTCCTTATCAGATATCAACTTTATATTTCATGAATTCTTCATTGATATTCTCTCACGAAAAAAATATGATCAAAGACGGTGACTTATCAAGGATGCAAGAGAGAGAGAGAGAGAGGGTGAGGGTGAGGGTGCATACGTAAACTTTTATCGTCAAAAATAAAATTATGAGAATAAATTATTACATTTAAAAAAAAATATTTCTAACCAATGATGTTGGATCTAGCAAAAAATTAATCATTCATAATGTAACAAATTAAGATTTAAATTTATATTAAAAAAATACTTACATTTAATGTCTGATTATACTTCAAACATAATTGTCTCTAATAAAAGAATACATATGAGTAATTAAAAAATACTGCTAACCTATCCTTCTCCATAAGAAAGAAATTATTATTCCCCCTTCAATATTATAGAGCATTTTTAATTGAATTATATCACAATAAGTTGGTTAATTATTTTTAAAATTATACTCTTTTTATGCTTACTCTTATTTAATGTAGTTTTTTAAATAGAAAATCTTATTAATTATACTCCCTACTTTAGAGTATTTTTGAAAAAATCTAATCAATCAATATTGAAAGATTCAAAATGCTTTATATTTAATGTTAACACCTCACATTAGAGAAAATGTCATATATTTTTTAATGAAGTGAGTGCATATTTCACTAAAGAATATATGTATACACATATTTAAAAAATAAAAAAATTATTGATTCATTTTAGTTGGTTTAAATTTTATTGATAAAAAGAAAAGATTGATAGGACACTCTGAAAAGGATAGCACATAAATGAATAGAAGATTCCGCGATTTAAAAAAATACGGGAACGAAAATAAGTATCTTAATAAAATAAAATAAAAACACGTTTTGATAATGTATTTTTAGCGAAAAAAAAAATACTTAAGTCAATTGGCTTGTTCATCAAGTAAATCCTAAAAATTTTGAGATTGATATTAAGATTATTAATGACCCACACCTTCAACATGGGTGTATGAATCTTCTATTTATTACTTGACTTTTTTGTTTTTTTTAAAGAGAGGATAAAGGTACATTTTTGTTTTTCAAGTATTTTTTGAGAAGTACCCAATACTTTAGTATTTTTATTGGAGCAATTTTTTCCTTAACGTTATTAAAAT